GAAGACATACAAACAGGCAGACAGGCCAACATACATACATACATACATACATACATACATACATACATACATACATACATACAGACAGACAGACAGACAGACAGACAGACAGACAGACAGACAGAACAACAGAATGACAGACAGACCAACAGAAAAACAGACAGAGAGAAAGACAGGCACAGACCGACATAACATACAGACTGACAGAACATACAGACAGATAGAATGACAGTCAGACAGACTGACAGAATGACATACAGACAGGAATACAGATAGACATACAGAATGACAGACAGAAAGAAAGACAGACAGACCGACAGAACATACAGAGAGACAGACGGACAGACAGATAGAATGACAGACAGACATAGACAGACAGACCAACAGACAGACAAACAGACAGATGGAATAACAGACAGACAGACAGAATGACAGAGAGGAAGACAGACAGACGGACAGAATGACAGACACAAAGGAAGACAAAGGCAAGTAGAACAGCAGATAAACCCAGAGAAAGACAGACAGATAGACAGACAGGCAGAATGACAGAGAGATAGACAGACAGACAGACCAACAGACACACACAGACATGCAGACAGAGACACAGGCAGAACAACAGATCTTGAATTTCTGGTTTTGGCTCAAAATGTTAATGTATGTGCATCAATTTTAAGTGTTACAGTCAACATTATATAAAGATAGAAGATGTCAGAAAAACATCCTAATTAACTGATGATATCATGACGCAGAGTTTTAGGATAATACAAATCTGTAATACAGAAAAGTTCTGCATTGTTGGTTTATGTGCAACCATTTTACATATCGCCTTCCACAGAGCCTGAAGATTTGGCTAAATCGTCTGATTTATCCAAAAAAAACATGAAAGTGTGTTATGGAGCGGTCCGGCATGTGCCATCCACATACATTCGGCACTGCAGTGGCATCGCTTATATGGAGAAACTGGAGCAGCAGTGAGATCAAGAGATGCCCTCCTCCCTCTGCCCACTAATCCCTGAAAGATGATCTACCCACGTCCCGCTCTAACGCTCGGGACAGGGTGCGGAAGAGGAGGAGGAGACCCATCCTTATCAGCCAGACAGACACCCATCCTGCTCAGGGGGTCCAATCCTCCCGTTTCTGCTTGTCCCATAATTAGATGATGTGTCTAGGTCTGGCCGGGGATTTGGCCAGGGCCTGAACTAGGTCGGTGGGTGATAGGGTGTGTTTTTTCCGTTTAACAACCCCCTTCTCACTCACTAGTGTCAGTTTTATTTGTCAAACGGACATGTCTGACACATCGTGACGTGGCCCGGATCATTACGTTAAGTGCTGGAGGACATATTGACGCCGTTAAGAGGCCTCAATGGACTGATGTTCACTATGAACTTGACACAATAGGCCGTGCAAACATATCTGTAATTGGATTTGATTTTTTTTTTTTGCTGAATCAGAAAACCTGGTGTGCGCACCTACCTCAGAATTACACGAGTGGACTGATGCATGACTATGGGGGAATATATAATTTGGCAGATAGGATTTTGGACAGTTGCCCGTTATATGGAAATACTCAGAGAAATGCAAGCTTGCACTTCAAGTCCTCGGGTTCTGATGACCGTCCTTCATTGATTACTAAATGTATATTACCATTATTGGCACTTTAGTGGCAGTCAGCTTTAATTAACTGTTTTGGGCCATTTCAGCGTGTATCGATGCTACGGCGTATCGATGCAGTGACGCTGAACATATGGATCGGCTGACATATTTCACTGCAGCATTAGTGGCGGAATCTGTTCAGATGATGATAGTTCACTGTAATCGTCAATTTTTGTGGGCAGATGTAATGATGTCATACCAGGACAGTTGTTTAATGCGTAGAGTCTGAGAGCAAGCTTATTAGATGTTCTCTATTCCCTGTCCTCCTTCATTAACATTTCACTTTACAGAAGAAATTGATGTGTGAAGCCACTGGAAAACGACTCATTGCGACAATGTCCAAGATTAAGAAGAATATAGATGGCAGCTAATGTATTCCTTTGTTCATTTCCATTCAGCTATCAATTGATCACAAGCATCTTGTCCCTGGCATTTAAGTGAGGATATATATTTAGTTTTATTTAATATACGGTATTGTGTAGGGTAGGGTAGTTTACATAAAATACTAAAGGAGCTGACATGTATTTCATTGTTGCTGTGTTATTACAGTATATTATAATGCTGTACTATTACAATTCTGAGTGATGGCATTTTAGTAGTAATAAAAGCAACACTGGTTCATTTTGAAGACGGACACCTTTATATCTTACCTGTCAATATTGGGATGTGAAAATAAGATATATTTCCTTGCTCATCTGGAGCTGTTTATTTGTAAATAAACAGTTGAAACTATTAGTAATATTCATTCATTCATTTTCTTGTCGGCTTGGTCCCTTTATTAATCCAGGGTCGTCAGCGACCCAGCGACCTTTTTGCTGTGAGGCGACAGCACTACCTACTGCGGCATGCCTACTGATAAAATGATAAAAACAGCTTAGCCTATTCAAATGAATAGCTATTATAAATAAATAGAATCAAGTCATCAAATTTTTTTCCATTTGATTTCATTAAATAAAAGAGGTGTCACTTTAAAAATGCACAGATCTATAATAAAAGCATTCGATTGCTTTCCTAACTTTTTATTAAGACAAAATTTATTAAGACAAAAACGGCATGTTTAGATGTTATTATTAATATTATTATTAATATTATGTGTATATATCTGTTCAAACTCGCACCCAAAACCCAAAGTATTCACTTTCGCTTCACTTCAAATTGCGGGTACAGAAGGGAAACAGCATCTGTTTATTACTATGGAGCGTACCTGATAGCCATGCACCAATACATGAACTGACTTTTTTGAGGACTGCAAAGTCGGGGCAATGGTGTCTGTAATGGAAAGAAAAGGAATCCTGCCGTTTTTATATTTATTTTGTGTTTTCATGCCTACACTGTAAAAAAAAAAAAATTCTATGAAAATTAATAATTTTACGGTTTATTTCCAGCAGCTGGGGTAAATTAATAAATCGTGTAAAAAAATAAATTATAGAAATTTACCATAAAAGAACGCACATTAAATTATACAAATTTCCTTAAGTTTAAGTAAATTTCTGTAATTTAACAGCTGTTATTGTCCTTTTTTTTCGGCACCCCAGCTGCCGGAAATAAACCATAAAATGATGGATTTTTTACATTGAATATAAAATGAAAGCATAGAACAGATTGACATTAAAAAGCAAAGGGCGTCCCGTGGTGGTTTGGTTGTCACCCTTTATAGAAAGATTGAAAATACAGGAGAAATACGGTAAAATCTTCATGCGGAATGACAGCGAAATAGAATTGTAAAATATGGGAGAATCCCGAGAAAAAAAATCGGTTGACAGGTTGACAGGTGTGCCGTATACATTTCTGGAGAGCAATAATTATGTAGCCAGAGCTACGTATGATTGCATTTTGTCTTTAAAATGAACGTATGAGGTGGTATGATGCCGCCGCCGACTTCTGTTTCTTTTTATTATACCGGCTGTCTATTTACCTCAGTGTGGATGGCTTTTCTGCTGTTACCAGTTTGTCCAGTGGCTCGCCGTGTACATCATCAAACTTGAGAGGTCGAGACATTTTAATTGCAACGATGGGGTTCAAGTCTGGGGAAGCAAGGTTCCAGAAAGCAGGTAAAACAAAAACAAAAGCCAAAAAAAAATAAAATAAACAACTAAATAATGTAGTGAGAACGTGGTGAGATCTGAAAACATGGTAAAAGTTAGGTAGCCGCAAGGGCTTTACTTTTTCTGGATTGCTTTTATAGATACTGTTGGTTGGGTTTAGGGAAGTGGTTGATCGGGTCAATCATTGCTTTTAAAAACACTATTGGTTGGGTTGAGGGAAGTGGTTGATCGGGTCAATCGGTGCTTTTGAAAACACTATCGGTTGAGTTTAGGGAAGGGGTGGGTGGGGTGATTGGTCAGTCGGATGTCTGTCAGTCGACAGTGGCCTCTGGTGGATTTATGCAAAAACAGCAGACACAAATGGCACTCGCGAGAAAAATTTGAGATCTGAAAAAGTGTACACTGCGTATATAGGGATATAAATATCTGTATAGAGGGGTATGAATCAATAATGAGCCTAGGTTGAATAAATGGCCCATATAGAGATTCTTATAGGTAAATAAAATCAATATAAAAAAATCACAATAAAAACAATGCTTAATAATATTTAAATTACTTATTTTAATTAGTAGTTATTAGTTATTATTATTAGTAGTATCATAATAACAAAAACAACAATAATTGTTATTAACATTATACTTTTATATAATTGTGATAGAAACTAAAATATTATTTTATTTATTTGAATTATACTGATAATTGTTGTTGTTATAATAATAATAGTATATTTTATATATTATTATTATTATTTTAATATTATTCATTCATTCGTTTATTTTCTTTTAGGCTTATTCCCTTTATTTATTTTAATATTAATTTACTGTAATAAATCAAGGCAAAGACAATCAAAACTAAAGAGCCCCAAAACTAAAAAAGTTAGTTATAAAAACAGAATCAAATGTTTACTTTCATATTTCTATGCATTGTGCATCAGAAAGCTAAAAATGCCAACACTGTATCCATGCCTGCAGTTGTGCCAGTTCCAGCAATGCAAATCAAAAACTACAACACACAAACCGATGTAAACATGATTCTACATGTGCCAGACTGCCTTGAAGGTCTTGTCCTAATTTAAGTTTTTGCTTGTAGCATTTAACACCTCCTCAGTTAGCATCTCTTTCTTTCCATCCGCTGCACTGTAGCTGTGCCTCACTGCATGGAAACTTTCACCCCCCCATCCTTGACACTCACACACCCACATGCACACAAACACACGACACACAGAGCAGTGGGTGGAAGGGGAGGAGACTGTGTCTGCTAAGGTTGAGCTGTTTACAGTGTGGGTTTATAAAACAGCAGACGAGGGGGGGCGTCTCTACAAAGAGGCAGGAGGAACGGCAGACGAGGATAGAGAGAGTGACGGAGAGGATAGAGAGCGTCTGAGAGAGAGGATCCGCATGCGGGACAGAGGAAGAAAACAGCAGGCAGACGCTGGACAGCTTTTTTTTTGACTTGCACCACAACTGCTACAGCAGAGGAAATGCTTATATGAAGAGAAAAAGTAATTGTGCATAGTAAGCAGAAGCTGTCTTCGCTTGTATTGTAAGTACCAAACATTTACCTCAAAATTACATATATAATTATATGTGTACATATATATATATATATAGTAACAAGAGTAGCAATATTAATGTAGTACAGTGATAGTATATTTAAAAAGTAGTACTATAATAAAGTAATATTAAAACTTATCAGAAATAAATGTTTACATACATTGTGTGCATTTTTATAAGTTTACATATATTTTTGTTATCATTAATATTATCATAAACAATTATTAAACACTTGGTACTGTGTATAACAACACACAACACATATTACATCTTAAGAAATCAGCACAATGTCATTTATATTTAACAAACAAGTTTATAAGAGGTCACTGAAGGCATATCTGTCCCTATTTCAGGATAAAAGCAGGAATTGGTGAGTTGCTGCATCTTAGAGTGTCTCGTCATGGATGACTCTAGGGAACCTACTGAATAGATCTCAGCGCTGCATCATGGTTCAGCAAAGAACCCACAAATACTCGTCAGTCATGGACAGCAATTCAAGCAGAGAGGTGTTTGTGGGACTGGCGGCTGAGGACGATGCTGAGGTGTTTGGACATGTACCTTCTAACAAAGACCCCAACTGGTGCAAAACTCCAACTGGGCACATCAAAAGACCAATGAACGCTTTTATGGTCTGGTCTCAGATTGAAAGACGGAAGATCATGGAGCAATGGCCTGATATGCACAATGCTGAGATTTCAAAGCGCCTTGGGAAACGCTGGAAACTACTGCCTGACTATGAGAAGATACCCTTTATCAAAGAGGCCGAAAGACTGCGTCTAAAGCACATGGCTGACTATCCTGACTACAAGTACCGGCCCAGGAAGAAAAGCAAGGGCTCAACCCCTGTCAAACTTGGCGAGAAGTTGCCTATGAAATCCAGCAAGCCCCTTCCAGGAAGATCTTCCGGGCTCTCCTGCAAAGGGCTTAAGATCAAACCTGCTTCTTCAAAGCATAAAATGAACTTTAGTAGCAATAAATACAAGAGCTACAGTGAGAGCATGAGCGACGACGACACCATGGATGTAAACCTAGAAAGTCCAGTGACTCAGCAAGACGATCGCAACACGTCAAGTCACTTTGTCCTTCACCAGCAGGCTACTGTTCAATCTGAGGACCAGCAACCAATTCCTGAGCTCAGAGTGAAAGTACCCATCTCTCAAACCAGCAGCATCCAGAGTCTCTCCTCGGACAGCGAATGCCAGGCTTTCCCAGAGTCCACGACGAGCGAACCACGAGGGTCCACATCTGGAAGATCTTCCACTCCGACCTCGACCAGCTCCTCCTCTTTGGTGTCGTCAGCATGTTCGGATGAGGAACTGGACGAGGAACTCTTGCATATAATTTCCAACAGTATGCCTATGGACTGTTCCACTCTGGACAAGGACTTTGAAGCATTTAACGCCAACTCAGGATCTCATTTTGACTTCCCAGATTACTGCACTCCAGAGGTGAATGAAATGATTTCTGGAGACTTGCTCGTGCCCAGCATCTCAGACCTAGTGTTCACCTACTGAATTTGAGTCTTCGTAATGTGGTCAGGCCTGCATAGCTGCCAAGTTGAAAATATGTTGTCCATGTTGTACTTGGACAATTCCTTTTTTTCCATGTGTTTATTTTTCTCAATGAATTCCGTAAGTGCTATTGCTTTCCTTTCCAAGCATGTCACATCTTGTTGGTTTAGCGAACACACACACAGGGGTTTGCAGAGCTGTTCGTCAGAGAAGACATTTAGATTTTGTTTAACACTTCAGAAGCAGCAGGGTGTAATTCTTGGAGAAAATGTCTCTCACCAGCTGTTTTTAAACTCCAAGTATCTTAATGGGAAGCAAAGATCAAACAAAAATGACAATTTTGTCATCGTTTATTCACCTGCATGACTTTCTTTCTTCACGAAATGCTAACATTTGAAGAACGTGTCAGATGTTTTAGTCCAATTAATGGGCCAAAACTACACTGGACACTACCAACTTTCAATGTGTGAGCATTCCACAAAACCCTCATCTTTTATAGTCCACAGAAGGCCATGGGTGATGACAATTTCCGTTTTTCTGTGAACTAGCCCCATTATATGCAGCACTGTCATCTTCAAGACTGCTCATAACACAAACTCTTAATCTTTATTAAATCAAATATAATTTCCTTCAAAGTTGTGCACATGTCGGCTGACAGTGTTGGTGCATTAATATCCTAAAACACTGAGGCAGAAAAGATGAGTGAAATCTTCCCACAGCACTTACAGTAAAGCATCAGTAACCTTGCAGAGGAAATCACTGCAGACACATAATTCATATCATATACTTTAATTAGGTAATAGCACTTTCATCACCTTGCCATTGCTGCAGACATTAAGACACATGTGTGATTTAAAGGCAGCTCTGCATCGGCCCAGGGTGCAGGTGTGTGTGTGTGTCTGTGTGTGTCAATGTGTGCCTGAACTGTTTGGACAAAAGAGGGATAAGGTTAGGGTTTGGGCGGGGGGGTTGGTTCTTTCAGGGAACTGTGCATCTGTCCATGCAGGCAGCAGCTTTTATGCAGGGGTCGGGCTCTGCGCTTACCGAGCGTCTGCTGGGGTGGGGAGGTGTGTGAGGGGGGGGGGCTCCTGCACCGGTTCGCTGAAATGCATGTCATGTCTGCAGTCTGGCTGCAGCTGCCCCGATCAGGGCGAGAAATCTGTGTCTGCCAGCTGGCCCCCATTGACTCTCTCAGGGATCGTTTGTCTAGGTCCTAGTGCCTCCCGTAGGTAATTCATCTGTGATGATCTGTGTGCATGTGTGTGTGTGTGTGTGTGAGAGCGTCTCTTTCTCTCCCGGAGAAACCATCCAAAGCCAACTGAAGTGACTGAATGCCCTGATTTCTCAAAAAAGGAAGATCCGTCCTCTGTTTTCTTTTTATTTCACCCACATGCTCTTATTAATTTCAGTTCAGTTGGCGCCCGGGAGACCGGCATTATTTACCTCCCACCAACAGTTGTCAGAGAAGGGACAACAAACCCTGCAGTTCATATCTTACATAAACTGTTAATCCTCGTCGATTCGAGACGTCCTGTGAAGATGCGGCGGCATGCTGTGCAAAGTGAAGGAACACAAAAGGAAAGGGACACGCTGTGTGTTTGCTCTTGGTTTAACCTCACTGTTTGGACTGCATAATGACTACTTTTGTCACATTGACCACAGAGGCATACAACAGCCTGTGTTTCCTTATTGTAGGAAAGAGTTGACTAGACCAGTATTTTTTCTAACCCATGATAGTTTGCAAAAATCTTAGTTTTATCAAGTGGTTTTTAGAATGACAGAACTACACATGTACTTCAGGTATCTGTATTCCAGCCGAAAAGAGAAATGGCGTCAACCAAGAGGGCTGTCAGGAAAGATGGACGCCATTTGTGATATGAGGCCTTCATTCATAAAACACAAACATGAGGATTTCTTTCAGCTTGTAAAAAAACATTGCCTCGACGTGTATGTATAGCACAGACAGATTTAGTGCTGTAAAACGGAAATGTTGGCATTTTAAATGCTCAAAATTGTAGAAACTGTAGAAATACCGCAAGTTATTGGAAACTGGCATTGTCTTTGTAATGCAAAAAGGTCATTTGTATTATGAAAAACCAAAATCAAGTTTGCATGTGTCATGTGAATAGATACAACAAAAGGCTTGGGCCTTCAACAATCATCAGGGAAATTATTTCAGGAAAGCGACACGTTCACTATTTTGGAAGATTCAGCGCTACTGAAATTGTGAGATGGCTCGTCATACCTGAAGCTCACAAACAGGAACCAGTCTTTGCATTAAGACGTTTGTAAATCAAATCTGTCTCTGTACACTCTTGAATTGTATCAGGTCACACACTGAACCAATACAGTACCAAACACCAGCAGTCAATCTAACGGACTCAGGACTAAAAACATCAGCCCACTGTGGATCTGCTTTGATTCAGCCATTACTAAAATGCACTCTGTTTGGCCATTGTATGTCATTGTAGATGATCTGCAAAAGAACTGTATGTAGCATCAAAGGTCAATTTGCAAAGTTGTACCTTTTTAAATATTAAATATTTTAAAAACGTCACAATTCTTTTGGGTGCATTTTTCAGCTGTAAATAAAACATTATTTAAATGTGTCTTAAAATTGATCCTTTCACAATGTGTCAATATATGTTTTAAGATTTTCTTATTTGCTTTTATTTCAAAGACGGTGTCATTTATTTATTTGATATTTCACCAAGAGCGCCAGAAAATGGGAACGACACATCACAGATGGGCTCAGGCAAATTAGTGTCAAAGTGATAAATGCAGAAAGCTGTATATAACTGAAGCAGTGTAAAAATACCCATCTGGTCGGCACCTCCTACTTCTGGGCTGGCAATTAATGAACAGCATTCTGTGGGATAAAAAGAAAACCAAGGACAATGCTAATTTCACACAGGCCAGACTCAGCTTTGCTAAACCTGTCATATGCAGAGCATGCGCTTCCTCGTTTCCACGTCTGTCAGAAATCTGCTGCCAAAATTAATGACGGAGACTCATTCAGAACAAGGGCCAGCTTTTAAAACTGAAGAATTTTCATAGCACTATGCTGATTCATCACGGAAGACCTACAGTACAAAGTGGTTTATACAGCAATAAACAGACAAAAAACAAGCCCCTGAGCAGATATTTCCCAAAGAAACACTGTTTCTAGGCCCAGAGCTCATTTATAATCTCAGCATGGTGCAGTTTCAGCTATTACAGACTGCACTGGTAGGTGAGAAATCTTATGTGGGATCCCCATGATCATCTTTAAATGTGAAAATGATATGAAATTCTTGTGAAATGTTATACGAATCATCAGCTAAAGCACTCTTTAGAATCAATGTTGTCAAACTACGACCATGTTGCCTCAAATGCACCTTCATTACATAGATATCTACTTTTTCTTATTATTTCCAGAGGAAACAACACAAAGTTGTTATGGTCCACTTTTTCTTATTATTGAATCCTTATGCAATGAGAAGATGACTTTTGATTGGTCTCAAACTCTACAACAAGTGATGTTAAATCTATAAAACTTGATTTGAATGATTTGGGTCTGGATGTTTAATTACAGACATTTTTATCTGGAATTACCTTGTACTATGTCTATCAAAGTCATGCTGTATTACACTGAATTCAAAAGATTGTGTTGCCTTTACATTAGTGACTACAGGATTTACTGACAAGCATTGTGCGGTCACACAGAAACATCTAAATTAGTATCGATAATTTGTAGCATTTGAGTTTTAACCAAATGTATTTTAATTTAACACAACCAGACATCAAGTCAAGTACTTTATGACGTTTTCATGAATTTATTGGTGCTATAATTTTGCTGTATAAGGAACAGTTTACCCAACAATGTACTTAAACAACATCTTTTTACTGTGTGTGTGTGTATTGTAAAGTTTTTGTGTACAACTTTGTTAAAAAATTATTTGTGAAAACAATTTAAAACCGCTGCTTCTAAAAATCCTACTAGAAATGCTGTATTTTGCATGCAAGACCAGTAGTTGGCGATGTCACTTTGTACAACAAAACCCTACGCGACTGCACACATATATGGCTGCGTCCGAAACCGCCTACTACTCAGTAGGTACTGCTTTTGAATTTAAACGTACTACTCGGCCGTTAGAAAAGTACGTTCTATACAGTATGAATGTGAAAAGTATGAATGGAATTCGGACGTACTATATCCGCCATTTTGTCATAGTCACGTGACCTACCTGCGTCACTTGCGTCGCTTTACTCTCATTCATGAATTCGCTCGCGGGGCATCATGGCATAGGGCAGCATGCATGGGATGCGCACTTCAGAATCTCGCCGGAAGTAGTATATCGTCCGGGTACTTCTCGCATACTGATTTTCGAATTCTTTGAATTCGGACATACTACTCGGCTCGCATACTGATTTTAGCGTACTATATAGTATGGAAGTATGCGGTTTCGGACGCAGCCACACAGTTCTATCCGCTTGTTAAGTGTGACGTCACACGAATCAGCTTCCGGGTCCAAATGCTATATCAAACTGTATAGGGAGACTCAACAAATGGTAATAATAAAGGTTTATAGAGTGCTGTAATACTTCCGAAAATCACGATCGCAATATATATATAAAATAAAAAAATTATAAAAAATCACTTTAATGTGGGATATGACTAAAAAGTGGTCAAAAACAAATGTTTTCTTAATTCAAACAAGTAGCAGCTTGGAGTCGGAAGCAGTATTGCTTACGTCATGACTTAACAAGCGGATAGTCTGCCACTGTGTTTGTGTATTTGTGCATGCTTATAGAATAAACATAAGCCACATGCACATGACATCAAAGTTTTACAGCATGGTTTTCAAAGATCTGAAACCAGTCTTTAAAAAGTTTCAAATATCAGCCACCCAAAACAATATTTTCAAGACAAAAACATAAACAAATGCATAAACTGCTGAAAAGAGTGTAAATACCAGTGTAAGCATGTTTGACCATCCTTCTGTAGAGCACAAAAGGATCTG